CCAGCAGTTGGCCGACTTCATGGAGAAAGAAGGACTCTTTATGATGAACTCTTTCTTCCAGAAGCGGCCCCATAGGAAGTGGACCTGGTCGAGCCCCGACGGTTCGACAAAAAATGAGATTGACTTCATTATAACGACCAGACAACAACTGTTCAGTGATGTCTCAGTGATCGCGAGGGTGAAAACCGGCAGCGATCACCGAATGGTTAGAGGCACACTGAACCTAAACGTTAAGTTGGAGAGGTCTCGTCTAATGAAGTCAACGCTCCGTCCCCCTCGTGCTCTAATCCAAACTCCCGAAACCTTTCAGCTCGAGTTGCAAAACCGTTTTCAGTGCCTAGAAGACTGCAATGAAGTGACCGATTTGAATGACAAGCTCGTGGAAACTGTCCATGCGGTCGGAGCTAAGTTCTGCAAGACCCGCCGCAGAAGAACACAAAAACTCTCCGATCACACTCTTAATTTCATGGCTGTTAGACGGGAGATGAAGCTACATTCTTCAACAGATTTGACAGCATACAGGCAACTGAACAGACAGATCTCCAAATGCATGCGGCGGGACTTACGCAACTTCAATACAGCTCGTATTGAAGAAGCGATCGAGCGGAACCAAGGCTCTAAAGTCTTTGCCAGAGATCTGTCTGCCAGAAAGAGCCAACTGTCAAAGCTGAAGACCGAATTGGCAGCATCGTTTCCGAGGCACCTGAGATTTTGAGTGAGATTGAGAGGTTCTATGGGCAGCTGTACACGTCATCATTGGAGCCACACGCAAGTGTGAGTAACGATCCAAGAGCGAGTCTTATCCGACATTATTCCGATGATATCCCGGACGTCAGTCTGAGCGAGATTAGAATGGCTCTCCAGCACCTTAAAAACGGCAAGGCCCCAGGCCAGGATGGAATTACAGCGGAGCTTCTGAAAGCGGGTGGAAAACCGGTACTTGAAGTCCTTCAGAAGCTCTTTAATTCCGTCCTTAATAAAAACACTTCACTCTATAAATGAAATATTATCACATAACTTCCCTGGATTTATTCCATATTGATAAAAATTGTATATAGTTGTTATGCTTCGACAGTTGACAACGACGCAGCAGAAATCCTTTATAATAATGTGAGTATTATGTCTAAAATAAAAATAAAATATTATAACAACTCTCTTATATATTTACTCATCTTTTTGTTGAAATTTGTAAATTTGTAAGCCAGAATAGGCCTCTAAATAATAAAATAAGTTAAATGTACTTAGCTTTTGAATATATTATTTACGAATTCCTATAATCCACCCAAGGAGGTTATAATATAATATAGGGAGTGAGCGCTTGGAGCATTGTAACCGTTCCTCATTTTTCTTAGAAAGAGAGGCACCGAGTTTTGTATTTTATCTCCTTCTAACATTGATAAATAATTACACAAAATAAAAACATTACCAACGTTCAGACAGTTATTGACTTAAAGTAATATTTTAGACGTATGCTAGAACGATAATCTTACATTTTTTATCGCTAATCATAGTTGGTATATTCCATATTGTGTTTCGATTAAGCTTATTATTAAGTAACACGAAAAAAACCACTAAAATACGAATGTTGTCCCTAAAAACTAGGGGGTGCATTTTACGCTATAGATGACAACACTATTTTAATATTTGACGTTGTCAAATTACTGAATATATTGGTTTTTTTTTATAGGATAGGGTGACAAACGAGCACACAGTCCACCGGATGGTAAGTGGTTACCCATAGACATCTACATTTATCTTCGATTACGAATCAAAATGGAGATGCGTTCAGATGCGTCGTCACCCGAGAGGCATAAGATGGAATGTCTTTTTTCCAGTAAAAAGGGTATCTGGTTCTCTACACTCACCATATGAAATACATCAGTGTTGAGCTACTATTTTACGCTGGTATTCTGTGAGTGCGCAGTCCTTTCTCAGTCGAGCCAACCCTACATTTGTGCTACAACTTTACTACCAATATAGCTGCAGTATGGCTCTACCAAGTAGAAAACGCCTTGTGCTAATCATTCGCTAAATCTATGTGGAGTGCACTCACTTAGGGAGCGTTAATTCAAATTTTACTTTTTTTTCGGAGCAGTAGAAAGAGTTTACAGGTTCTTTTCATCATCCACACGTCAATGGGAAACTTTAATAAAAAGTGTATGCGTATCCGTCAAAAGATTCTCAGAGACAAGATGGATTGCTCATCATGAATGCAGAATAATTTAAAAAAAACTAGTATAAACACTCGAAGATATATATGATCACAGCACCAACAGAGAAAACGTCGATACAAAAGAAGCAGCGTCTACACTCTTACCAGCTTTGTGTGACTTAAGTTTTTTATGTTATCTTTCCTTTTGGTGTAAAATCCTAAAAGAAGTTAGTCAGACACAAAATTAAATAGTAAATAATAAAATAATAATCTAGATTTATCACTGGAAAAGTATGTGATAAAAATAAAAGCCCAAAAATTTTACTTCAAAGCCAACGTATTAAATTAGTGGAATAAGCTATTTCCTACGTAACAAAAAATGTGATAATGTGGACAATCCGATTGAAGGAAGAAGAGGAATGAGTAGATTTCGAAAACGTTTACCAGGAGAAATAACCCGATATGCTGGACTAACATTGCCAGAGCTTGCAGAGAGCTATGTTAGAATGTTTTGACAGATTTTACGAGGAACTAGACCATCGCTACAGAGCAATGGACGACATTCTCGTAACATTATGGCCTTTCGCACACGGCGTCGTATCGTAAGCGTATCGTAATACGCGCGTAGGACGAGAGCAATACGAGCAATGTTCAAACAAGTCGGCACACGAAGTGGTGCTGCAGCGCATCGTAGGAGGTGTCTACTGTCATTACGATAGTTGTAGTGCACTGGCGTAAAACAGCAAGCGTAAAAAATTTACTGTTCATTAATTTCTTTAAAAATTTAACTGAATTTACATTTTTTTAACTTCTTCCAACTTTTAATTTCAATAGGTATGAATAGGACTGAAAAAGTGATTAAATTCGTGAAACTGGGTGAAGCGTTACCTTTTCTATATAATCATTCATTAAGAGAATATTCAAGGAATTAGAAATGGATAAAGCTTGGGCAGAAATATCCTCATAAATATCGCTTTCTACTATATAAATTCACCCAACACATCTGGTACCGTGGACACCATGATTTCAACTGAGATCTTACAAAACGATACGTCTACGCGACGATTCGTTTGTAGAACACTGCAGGTCTCGTACGCGTTGCGTCGTAACGATACGCTTACGATACGACTACGCTTACGACTCGTGTGCGAGCCTTAGTGTTGTTCAGCCTTACACTCTACTAGATCTTCGTGCAATAGTTCAAAATCTGACAAAAATCTATTATGATTTTTCTGCAGGATATATAATTTTGGAGATTTTACGACTTGAAAGCTGTCAGCATTCCTCCCCAAGAAGCGGTTCAATGTAATTCATTAGATGTTTTCTCGTAAAATTGGGCTATTCTGAATGTGTTTCGAATCTAGTGCTGCGTCTAAGATTTTTTTTACTATTAAGTTTCATGTGAAGGAAGCTTTTCAAAAGTGAACTTAATAAAATCTTACAGGTCCATAGTGAGCCAAGCGCGACTAACCAATCTTTCCATTTTATCTATCGAAAATGACAAGAAAGTAAACTTTGATAATATGTTAGAATATTTTAGCAAAATAAAGTCCCGTTAGCATGTATAGCATTTTTTGTTTTATTTTCGGTGGTGCTTGATAGAAAACGCCCTGGGTGTCAACACACGATACGCCGATAATAGTTACCGTAAGGTTTGATATTGTAGCGAAGCAATAATGTAAACAAAATATTAAACGGAGTTTAATTATAACACTACTCAGCACTTTCGATATTGAAAAAAAAATACGCGTTTCGTTTTCCGTAATGCTGTATACACTATTAGCCACTCAAGCGTCCTGGCGACCATAGTTGCCTAAAACTTTTTCCGGTTGAACGTTAGGGCGACTAGAGCGGCCTCGCTGACTTCTACACTTTAAACTACTTTTTATCTATGGAAAGTTACAAAAATCTTCATGAATGTTACATTAGACAGCTCTATATTAAAAAACGCGTTTATAGGTAGGTAAAAATTTTATGCCAAGTAACATATACCATTGAAAAAAACAAAAAAAAAAAAAACAAGCGTTGTGCCAAATTTTGTCAGTAGTACTGTGAGTTCTAAATTTAAAATGTAAGTAATGTGTTTATTATAGTTTTGTACTGGTGTTATATATGAAAATAATCCTCAAGATGATTTCTTTTCGTATATCCACAAGTTTTATGTATCTAAAGTCTGTAATGATGTTTTTATATATGATGAATTCAACATGCGAAAACTTCGGCTTTGTGTGCCGGTTTTTGTTAACATATTATTAATTTTAAACAAATATAATTAACTAACATAATTAAATTTTGCATTTCATTAGCTTTCTGTAAGTGATTTTTATTCTGATATAGGTAAAGAACTTTCTCCGTGGTAACGGTTTTAGTCGAATTGGTCGCGATCAGACCGTATAAAAATCGCGACGAGCGTCGCCGGGACGTTCAAGGCTATTGTCGCCGCGTCGCCCGGACGTTTGAGTGGTTAATATCCTCAAAATATTGTATCATGAATACTCTATTAGAAAGAACTGTAACGCTTAACTCGGTGCATTTCATTCATTTCAAGATCACTGATTTAGGAACGCTTCTCTAGTATGAAGTGCGCACTCCCTATATTTTACAACCTCCTTGAATCCACTCCAGATGGGGTGAATAAACGAGTTCGCGTTTCTTACTATCCAACCTAGGGTGAATAAACGGAATAAGCCAAACATCTAACACGATTCGATGTAGCGAACGATGACATCAAAGTGTCAAAATATCGATATGCTTTACGATTGAACGATTGTCACTACTTGTACTTGCTTGTTACTTGTCAGTGGTTACTTGTCATTGTCAACTTGTGATTTGTCATTTGTCAATGGTTGTCAATGTCCACAACTCGCACAAGTCGCTGCGAATTTTACATTTTCATTTTTAATTATTTGTTCAATGTTCAGTTTTCAAGCAAACGTTGACTAATGTTGTCGATTGGTCGGACTTATTGATAAAGTTCAGTTTTCTTTGCGATTTTTTAAAGTTTTTATAAAGATTTTTAGTGCCTTTGTGTAAGAACATAAAAAATAGTTAAGGCTCAAATTGTGTTACTGTGATTAAATAATAAATAATTTTTTTACTTTTTACGGATACCTTCATTTTAAGCATTTAATCATTAAAAATTTCGCTAATTGGATGTTCGTAATTTTTTCTGACGGACGCTATGCAAAATTCGAGCGATAAACTTTAAAATCTGCTTATTCTGTTTTGTGGATATTAATTTGGTGAGTTTAACTATGTAACATATTAATAAAAACATCTTTTAAAATTATTGGAAACATGTAGGTACTGTACTGTACTCGAGCTAAATCTTTTTTTGTGACAAGTAATACAAACAGTAATAAATTTATCCATCCCTATATTAGTATGAGGTCATGAGTAACTAAATCTTTTGTTGGTTATTTCTTGTATGAAAGTTTCATCCTACATTTTTTAAGCTATATCAATTTTTTCTGAATAATGACTTAATTAATAATAATAATTGGCCTTTAGTATTTTTAATTTTTTTTAAATTGTGTTTTAATTAAACATTGAATATTATTATAAAATGATTTTATTGTAGGTTGTTGATCATGGAGTCACTTAAACGAAAGGGCAGGCCACCCAATCCCAGGGCTAAAGCAAACCCTTTGTCGGCATTAACATTTGCGTAAGTTAAATGTTTCATAATTTTTATTTTTTTCCTTCTGTAGCAGTAATTACTAACTGTAATAAAATTATGAAACAACAATTAATTTATCACATTAAACTTTAAGAGTCACAAATGAGATTGCTTTCTACCTAATGGTATGTAGCTACTGCAACAACTGCAAACTGTGTTGTCACTGTCACTTTAAATAATAAAATGAAATTCCTCAGAGTCTATCATCATAAAAGCTCCCTATGCTTTTTTCAAATTAGAACAGCTGTGTATGTGTCCTCCATGGTAGTACTACTCCAGAGGCATGGAGCAGAAGTGCGGTGGTCTTGTTCTTCAAGAAAGGCGATAAAGTTCTCATAAAGAACTACAGAGCGATTTCCCTTCTGAACCGCGTCTACGTGCTGTTTTCGAGAGTCATTACGATTCATTTTGCATGCAGACTCAATGACTGCCAGCCTCCCAAACAAGCCAGTTTCCGAAAAGGCTTTATCACCATAGACCACATACATACCCTTTGGCAAATTATACAGAAGACTGAAGAGTACAATCTGCTACTTTTTGTTGCGTATGTGGACTATGAGAAAGCCTTTAATTCTGTTGAAATTTGGGCGGTGCTGCAGTCCCTTCAGCGGTGCCAAGTCGACTGTCAGTATATAGAAGTGCTGAAGTGCTCGTACAGTAGGGCTGCGATGGCTATCCGAGTACAGAACAAGAGTACGAAACCTATCCAACTGCAGAGAGGTGTAAGGCAGGGTGACGTAATATCCCCGCAACTTCACTGCTGCATTGGAAGACGTTTTCAAGCTACTGGACTGGAAATGATATGGTAGTAACGTCAATGGCGAGTACATCACTCACCTTTGATTTGTCGCCGATATAGTACTTATGGCAGAATCGCTGGAGGCCCTAAGCACTATGCTCAATGACCTCAATAGTATCTCCCAACGAATAGGTCTTAAGATGAAGATGGACAAAATAAAAATCATATTTAACGTCCATGTCACACCTATGTCAGTAGTTGTTGGGAGCAGTAATCTCGAAATTGCTGACGAATATGTTTACCTGGAACAAATAGTCCGACTAGGTAAGTCCAGCTTCGACCGAGAGGTCAATCGACGGAATCAACTTGGCTGGACAGCATTCAGGAGATTACGAAACATCTTTTCATCAGACATACCTCTAATCTAGATTGTACAATCAGTGTGTGTTGCCAGTGATGACCTATGGATCTAAAACATGGTCCTTCACTGCTGGCCAATGAGGAAGCTTAAAGTCGCTCAGTGAGCTATAGAGAGGGCCATGTTTGGCGTTTCTCTGCGTGATAGACTTAAAACGAGGATATCCACAGTAAATCCAGAGTAACCAACATAGCTTAAAGAATTAGTATGCTGAAGTGGCAATGGACCGGCGATATAGTTCGAAGAACCGACAACCGATGGGGAAAAAGGTTCTCCAGTGGCAGCCTCGTACCGGCAGGCGAAGTGTAGGGCGTCCCCACACTAGATGTTAACAATGGTAGAGCCACGCGGCTTTTGCTGTCGCACGGATGGGCCGGCTCGAACCAGGGTGGTACCACGACCTCACAGAATACCAACGTGAAGTAGAGGTTTACCTCTGCGTTTCGCTTGGTGAGTGCAGGTGGCCGGAGGCCCTTTTTATTGGAAATGAGGCATTCCATCTTAGTCCTCACGGGTGACAACGCATCTGCATTTTGATTCGCAAACGAGGATAGATGTAGATGTCTATGGGCCGCAGCAACCACTTACCATCAGGTGGACTGTGTGCTCGTTTGTCACCCTTATCTTATAAAAAAAAAGAAAATAGATGGAGTGACGACCTGGTAAGACATCCAGGAAGTCAATGGATGCAGGTGGCTTGGAACCATGCTTTGTGGCATTCCTTGGAGGAGGCCTATATTCAGCAATGGACTTGTGAAGGGCTGTAATGATAATGATGATGTGTATGCATAAATTTACTCTACAAGGAATACATTTGCTCTAAAGGCTACTTACTGTACTTTGTTTTTAATACATAATAGCACAATATTAAGCATACATGTATTAAGTTTTATGCGCTTTTAAGTATAATAAGTAAATTGGAGATTATTTACATTCCAAATATTTATTATTAATTAAAATTTTAGGTGGACATTGCCAATATTTTGGAATGGCTTTAAGAAGGAAATGGAGGAGCAGGACTTGTTTGAACCACTAGAAGAACATTCATCAAGTAATTCTTTTTATTTAAAATCTAAACTTTGTATAATGATTATAATTTAAGTAACACCTTAAATTTATTTCTCTGCTGGCCACAGTCCTCTCATTTCCGATAGGGTGATATTTATATGAAGCAATTATTCTAGTATACTGCTCCATGTCTTTGAATTTTTTTATTCCTAAGACATGCATATTACCTCAGTATGATTTTGTTCACTGCTGGCGCATAGAAAATCAGCACTTATTTTATCATTGTCGATAGATTATTTATGTTTGCCTACAGTGAAATTAATAGTGTGTTTAACCCTTCATCTACCACAGCTCAATTATATAGTGATAATCATATTTTTATACACATTATAAACCAGTGCTTGATTGCAATCTCACCCGGTGGTAAGTGGTGATGAAGCCATTGGTAAATCACGTTGTCTTAAAGTAACAAAAGCTTATTCACTCTGGCCATAAAGACAAGCAGATTGTTTGACGCAAATTAGTAGTACACTCCTGTATATATTATGAAAGACAAAGTTAACTATTTAATTCAAATGTGTGGAATAAGTGGAATATAGTCTCCTGCATGTGTAATAAAATCACTTATGAATATGTGGACTTATAGCTTAATCATAAATTTGTTAAAACTGACTAGACCCAAAATCTACTAAATCATCATTAATGTTTAAATAAAACTAATTTTACGGATTTTATCGCGTATATTAACTTATTTTAGCACAGCACCCATGGTCACCCCCGTGATGCCCCACTCCCGTGTGTTTCGCTCGGCAGAGGGCGTGGGCGCAGAACGCGAGTGCGAAAAGTAGTAGCTCGCTGGCAGCCGTACAGTTAATTAGCATACCTTGGTTGCCGCTGCCGAGGTTTCGCGCGACCAATTTTGGGTTTACGGTCTCCATTTTTAGAATTGTGCGCGTGACTTCGCTACGTAATTGTGTTTCGTGAAAACCGCCTCGTTTTAGGTTGTCTAGGGTTTAAGTTCTTGACAAGAGGCTTGTATTGTGTTTGACTGATTAAAGTAACTTCTTTGAAAGTAAATGTGCCGTCGCGTTAAGTGTCCTTTTTTGTGTGTTGACTGTTTTGTTCGTTTTGTGTGTCAACGAGGCGGAATTTTCAATTCTTATCGCGGCGTAGTTTTTAGTATTGAACGAAGGAACTTAGTCGTGTTTAACGCCGAACCGTGTGACTCATGAAGAGATCGCGTTAGTTCCCTATTTATAATTTGGTGATAAGTGAATCTGGGATATTGAATGTTGAACTTTGAACTACTGTCCGTTACTGTGTCGGGTATCACGTTTTCGATTCTACGATGAATGTGGCATTAGGCTAGTTTCTTAAATGTACAATGGAGTTAATAGACTGAAATAGTGACATGAAGAAAGAAATGGTCCAGCGGGGAAGCCTGCTGGAGTGATGCAGCATTGTGGGGCAGCATGGAAATCGGCCGCTGCCGGTCACCTCAGCTGGGCCAGGCCTCATACACATACACATCACTAAACACTACTTTCCATGCACCTTACACCCACCTGCGGCCTGACCGAGCCTTGGGGCGGTCTTAGATTCGGATACAGGTACGTACTATATTTTCCTAGCCTTCTCCCTATAGTTTAGCATGATAGGACATTTCTCCATATGGCTATTTGGACCCGAACCCTCGGCTGTCCGTCGAGGAGGCTACTATGGGCCCTAGCCAAGGCGACCTTTGCAGGGGCAGCTGTGGGCCGTAACACTACTTTTACGGATTTTACCGCGTTTAATTAACTTATTTTTAATAATTCCCGACGTTTCGGGTGCTTTACAGCAACCATGGTCACGGGAACTGAGGTGATTGACGTCCCGTTGTCAGAGTTAACCCGGAGTACCTTCAGCTTTTTTAATTATTAATTTTGGTCCGATCTACGCAGAATGAACTTACTGTGTCTTGAAGTCTTGGAGTAGTACGCTTGGGTTTAGTTTTAATTTTATTAATTACAGCATCCCAAGCAGGTGGTAGTAGCCAGCCTCACGTAATCATCCTTGGTAGTAATCGATGTACTTTGGCGAGAATTTGTGGTTTATCAAATCTGCTGTAAAGCACCCGAAACGTCGGGAATGAATAAAAATAAGAAAAATAAGTTAATTAAACGCGATAAAATCCGTAAAAGTAGTTTTATTCAATTAAAAGAGAAATGTTATCAAAAGTAAGTGTAATTTACTGTAGTAATTGCAGTACACATTTTAGAAACTAACATGTTATTTAAAAGTGCTTAATTAATTAACACGAACACTACTTACTAATTACTTTATTAAAATATTTTGATTGAAATTAAAATTAAATGTTGGTGTTTCGTTGGCACAGATATGTAGAAAATGACTCTTTAAATGAAATTTACTTGTTCACTACGGCATCATGGTTTTTCAATGTTAGGCTTTCTCTAATCTCTGGTCTGATAAAAGGAAGATGGAGATGATCGTTGGCCACTAAATAGTGTGCAGACGCATGTGAGCGGTAGGCCGGTGTTTCGCTGGCACAGATATTCAGAAAATGACTCTTTAAATGAAATTTACTTGTTCACTACGGCATTATGGTTTGTCAATGTTAGGCTGTCAAACTCTGGTCCGGTAAAAGGAAGATGGAGGTGATCGTCGACCACTAAATAGTGTGCAGACGCATGTGAGCGGTAGGCCGGTGTTTCGCTGGCACAAATATTCAGAAAATGACTCTTTAAATGAAATTTACTTGTTCACTACGGCATTATGGTTTGTCAATGTTAGGCTGTCAAACTCTGGTCCGGTAAAAGGAAGATGGAGGTGATCGTCGACCACTAAATAGTGTGCAGACGCATGTGAGCGGTAGGCCGGTGTTTCGCTGGCACAAATATTCAGAAAATGACTCTTTAAATGAAATTTACTTGTTCACTACGGCATTATGGTTTGTCAATGTTAGGCTGTCAAACTCTGGTCCGGTAAAAGGAAGATGGAGGTGATCGTCGACCACTAAATAGTGTGCAGACGCATGTGAGCGGTAGGCCGGTGTTTCGCTGGCACAAATATTCAGAAAATGACTCTTTAAATGAAATTTACTTGTTCACTACGGCATTATGGTTTGTCAATGTTAGGCTGTCAAACTCTGGTCCGGTAAAAGGAAGATGGAGGTGATCGTCGACCACTAAATAGTGTGCAGACGCATGTGAGCGGTAGGCCGGTGTTTCGCTGGCACAGATATTCAGAAAATGACTCTTTAAATGAAATTTACTTGTTCACTACGGCATTATGGTTTGTCAATGTTAGGCTGTCAAACTCTGGTCCGGTAAAAGAAAGATGGAGGTGATCGTCGACCACTAAATAGTGTGCAGACGCATGTGAGCGGTAGGCCGGTGTTTCGCTGGCACAAATATTCAGAAAATGACTCTTTAAATGAAATTTACTTGTTCACTACGGCATTATGGTTTGTCAATGTTAGGCTGTCAAACTCTGGTCCGGTAAAAGGAAGATGGAGGTGATCGTCGACCACTAAATAGTGTGCAGACGCATGTGAGCGGTAGGCCGGTGTTTCGCTGGCACAAATATTCAGAAAATGACTCTTTAAATGAAATTTACTTGTTCACTACGGCATTATGGTTTGTCAATGTTAGGCTGTCAAACTCTGGTCCGGTAAAAGGAAGATGGAGGTGATCGTCGACCACTAAATAGTGTGCAGACGCATGTGAGCGGTAGGCCGGTGTTTCGCTGGCATAAATATTCAGAAAATGACTCTTTAAATGAAATTTACTTGTTCACTACGGCATTATGGTTTGTCAATGTTAGGCTGTCAAACTCTGGTCCGGTAAAAGGAAGATGGAGGTGATCGTCGACCACTAAATAGTGTGCAGACGCATGTGAGCGGTAGGCCGGTGTTTCGCTGGCACAGATATTCAGAAAATGGCTCTTTAAATGAAATTTACTTGTTCACTACGGCATTATGGTTTGTCAATGTTAGGCTGTCAAACTCTGGTCCGGTAAAAGAAAGATGGAGGTGATCGTCGACCACTAAATAGTGTGCAGACGCATGTGAGCGGTAGGCCGGTGTTTCGCTGGCACAAATATTCAGAAAATGACTCTTTAAATGAAATTTACTTGTTCACTACGGCATTATGGTTTGTCAATGTTAGGCTGTCAAACTCTGGTCCGGTAAAAGAAAGATGGAGGTGATCGTCGACCACTAAATAGTGTGAGACCAAGACAGAGACGCTGACGGCGGCAAAAAGCTCAAGTATAAATCTTATATGATTCTATCGGATTATGTAGTATAAGCCATGCAAAGAATAAGGTACGAGTTTCCATTGACGTCCGTCGAGTTGGAGGTTGATATTTTTTTTTTACAGAAAGGTTACATTATTATAAGCACACACGCGAAGTTTCAACATTCGGAGACACGTACTTTTAGAGAAAAAAAAAATATTGAAAATCAACTATTTTTGCAATATTTATGTCAATTGCGAATCTTTGATCTATTGTGGTTTAATTCAGATTTGTGGGCTTATCTTCTTTAAAAATTTAACTAGATCTACATTTAGTGCTGTAAAACACAGATAATCCAGATCTAATTTCCAGTAACCCGATCTTCTAGAAATCCTTTACTGTTATCACAAGAGAGAAGCGATAGACAGACAGATTATAAGGTGTCCATTGAGAGATAACTTCTCGATAGCCAAGAGAATAGAGAAGCACGGTGGCGGGTTGCTGCAACCGGTTTCTACCGCAATTTCGTGAAAAGTAGTGTCTGTCTTTTCCTTTAACGCCTTTAGTATATACACGGAAGACATGGAACCATGGACGTGGAGCGAAAATGTAAATCATTATTCGCTACATTTTCAGCATCCATTTCGCACAATCAATCTGTCTGAATGGCGCCACGGATACGAATTAAATCCATGTCAGACAACATGTTAGACTTTAGTGTTTTGCTACAAGAAATTAAAAAATAGTAATATATAATGTTTAATGCTACTGAGGCAAATACAATTGTACTACTGTATTTTTGAGAATAATTGTCAGGTATCGTAATTATAATCCACTAAAACCTCTATATATGTGGGTTGGAATCCTGTATAAGTGACAGTCGTTTTTCACTTGTGGACCTCTATAACTAAAATTGTTACTTGGTTTTGCCTATATAAGCGACAGTTAAACGTATTTGACATTTGCTCTTTATGACTTTTCGTTATAGGTCATTGTTATTATAAATTTCGAGGAACTATTAATCTATTCGAACATAGAAAAGATTAACAGATTTTTTTAAGTTGATGATGTTAGATTTTTTTATAAATACTATGTCCAAATATTATTCTAATACATGATACCCATACAATACTTATCCCATGTTTATCACTACATATTTTCTGTAATTTTTATAGACCTATAAGTGAGACAGGCCTCGTCTCTAACTCTGTAAGGTAGAAACTCGGGTTGGCGAAAAATCTCCATAAGAAAAAAAGATCGTGGTCGCTTGAACTCTGGCTTATCCAGGTTCGACTGTACAATACATGCGTTCCGCTGAATATCTGTAGCCATTGACAACCCGTTGCAGATCCAAGGTGAACTGATTTTGTTTCGCTTTGGCTTCGTTTGCGATGCTCCAATCAAAGTTATGCTAGACAATGTTTCGCCGTATCGCCGTTCTGTTTCGGTTCGGCCTTGTTTCGGATGCACGTCAGTGTACTAAAGGCGTAAAAAATGCAGTGAAGCATGTTCCAAACGGATCTAATCCAGCGGCCCAATAGAGGCGATCTTCCTTGTTACCATCCATCTAGATCATCCACTTTCTTTGTTTTCCGTCTTCAATAGCGCACAAAACTGCTGCCCACCTTTTGAAATTTGGAAAAATTAGGAGCCATTTCTATAGCTTAATTTTACGCGAGCGCGATTCACAGTGAAGTTCGACCGTGTTGGCTTTTGGTTATAATCTGTGTAGCCGAAACACAATCCGCGAATGGAACCAAGCTCGAGCCAAGGTCACCTCTGTTCGGACGCTGGATTACATCCGTCTGGAACATGCGTTAAGCTTCATTGTCCACTGTTGTCGGATACCCTTGTCGAGGTTGATCACTAAAATGATCAAACCAATTATTCATTATAGTTTGGCGAACTAATATATTTTTAAATGCATCACAAGTATTTCTAGCCTCTTGCAGTGCTCATTCGTAATAAATTATCGCTGGAAGTTGATGTTTGTCATTCGGAGCCATAACAAATTAGATAACAAACTCGCAGGAGCTTCCTTAAATAGAGTATACGCCTTAAATGAAATTTTCTAGAAAGTTCTAGTAATAAATTGACAGAAATTTTCAAGAACGTTCTAGCAATGAATTATTTTGAAGCTTCACCTATTGAAGTAGTACCTACGTATATATGTACGTTATACTTCAATGGCTTCAACTAGAGAATAGAGAAAATCAAAAAAGTGTCGAAGAATTTTTCAAACACATGTATTCAAAATTTCAACTAGAAGTTACTTTTATACGAGTATTGATTATCGTGTGATAGTGGCGTAAGGGCTCATGCCCACGAGACAGTTTTTAGCCGGGCTTAACTCCGGCGAAAAACCGTCTCGTCGGCACGAGCTCTAAGAGAATCTTATTTTGGTCCATGTGTTTTGTTGTAACTATTATATTAATCTTTATGGTGGTATGCCATCTCGCTTACACCAGACATAAAATGCCCGGACCGGCGACGAGCTGCAGCGTCAATAAATTCTAGTGCCACGCCTGGCACTCAGTCTGCCAAGCGTGACGATTAAGGCAAATCCTACCTACAACGAGAGAGGGCCATGTCCAGCTCGGGGGCTATATATTGTTAATATGGAAGATAGTATTGACTAATGAATGATTACTCGAGTGCTTAATTTTTAACTCTTCGTAGGTCCTTTGGGCGACAAATTCGCCCGTCTGTGGGAAGAAGAAGTCGCTCGTGCGGGAGCAAAACGCACGCCAAGCTTGCTAAGAGTCATAATGAAAGCCTACGCTGCACGTTGTATGCTTTATGGGTTTGTGCTACTGTTAATGGAATGTGGAATACGGTAAGTACATAAAAAATAATGCATTGAATATCTGTTCTCATTTCTTAAGAACCCTTGATGATTCTGTTCCCAATCTCGGCACAGAGTAGCTAAAATGGTGTATTGTGTTTATAGGTAACGTAGTTTTGTAAACAACTGTTTAAAATATTTTTGTCTTAAAATTCTACATTATTTTATTTTCGAAAAATGTGTGAAAAATTTATTTTTCATTTTACACATTTATTTCAATGCCAGTACTTGCGAAAAATTAATTTTATATTTTTTTATTATTAATTGTCATTACAATATTTTACGCGGTAAGTTGTGAATATAAAAGTTGTTTTTTTTTTCACAAAGAAAATAAACCGTTAAATTCATTTATATACATACTATGTAAACATCTAAGATTGAAGACTTTAAGCTTGGTAGGCCAATCTCCGGATACCTTAAACAATTGTTTTTCGTTATTATTTTTATTATGTTATCGATAGTTAGTGTCGTTGGAAATTCTAAATAAATTAATTAAAAAAAAATGTTTTCTAATATCGACCTGTATAGGGTCTTTTAATACATTTCTTGGAAAGTATGTGGAAATGCAAACTTGAAAATTTCCATAAGGGAAACGATTTTATTTATACCAGCTAACCTCCTGGTTAGCTGGTATAAATAAAATCGTCTGGAGACCTAATTTCTAGGCTAGCCGTCTGCGCATGATAGGATTATAGTGCAGTGCTCAAGTGTAGTGTTTGTGTACACTCTATAGTATAGTATAGTAAAGTGTGCACTCTGTATTCTCTATTCTACTCGGATGGATATCAAGCTCAGAACCGACGGCATTACGTGCCTTCCGTGGCACGAGGTTTAAAAAACGGTCATATTTCTGACTCTGGGCTGCTACTGAGAATTTCTTGACAAAGAAACCCATTAAATGATGTTGGCACCACTTGGTTGGTATTTGAACCCGGGAACTCATAATCAGCAGTCGTGCTTACAATCACTAGACCAACCAGCGAGCTATTGCGATATGAGAGAATCTACAGAAGTGTATCAGGATCGTGCCAAATAAAGTCCGTAGTTCCTGCCAACGTCTCTGGGTGAGAGGTATGAGAATAGACAGAATAATATAGAATAGATGATTTTTTATTGAATATGCATATATATTTGAAAGGCATTTTTGGATGCGAGTTTATGTAGGTAGGTACAATGATATTGCCTCTTTTTTATATATAACTAGCTGTTGACCGCGACTTCGCCCGCGTGGAGTTATTTTTCGCGGAACCCTAAAAGAAAAGCAGCCCAAGTTACTCCTTATAACATCAACTATCTGCCAGTGTGTATAAATATTGACAAATATTGAAATTAATATTTATACGATACTAACGTCACTCAATTGTTTTGCCTTCCCGGAACCCCTCCACTAACACTTAAACTTTATGGTATGGTATTAAAGTTCAAATTGACTTTTAAGTATTATTACGAATACGACGTTTTCAGGCATTTTTTTAAATTTTTCTCACCGTAAGAACCATCTTCGTACTTCAAGGAATATTATAAAAAAATAATTAGCGAAATCGGTTCAGCGGCTCTCGAGATTTGCGCTTAGCAACACATTCAGCGATTCATTTTTATATTATATTATATATATATATCATTGGGTAGATATGTATAATGTATATGTATCATAATATGTATGTATAGGTACGTTAGGTATGTCCTTAACGTATTATTATGAAGGGATCGGGAAACTTTATCGCATTTTTGTATAAGGATTTCAGATTAGCCTTGTACTTATCGTTAAAGATTTTCACTTTTGAAGAACCTTTATTTTTAGAAAGCAATAAACTGCTTTTAAAGAAGATTATTTCCTTTTAAAAATTACCCTTTTTTTAAGTAGGCTAAAATTTGATTATTATTAATTTTCAGTATCAAAAGGGCAATCTCATAGCAACGTTACGTTGAAGGCTCCGTGGCGCAGTGGCTTAGCAATCAGTTGTTGCGCTGGGGGCCGCGGGTTCAAATCCCGCACGGAACAAGTATTTGTATGGCCTACAAATAATTGTTCCGGGTCTGGATGTCTGTCCTTGTGCAATTTATGTTTGTAAACTGCCTCCACGACACAGGAGAAAATCCTAGTGTGGGGGTAAAGTTTTTTTTTAAAATCAAAATGAAATGAAACGTTGTGTTGTTTTGAAGTCGCGTAGGAGCGTTAATTTGCGTTATAATTTAAATTTTACTTTGCAATATTTTTGATGTAGCTTACCCTCTTCATCAAGTGAACGACCGCTTCTTTAGCAGATAACGAAGGTGAAACATTATGAAAATAGGCGTGTTATTTAATAATAAAGTATAATGATGTTTTATGTGGTAATATTTTAGAATGGATAGTGTCGTTGTTTTTGAACGAATAGTACCAGCGTTTTAGGTTTTTCGAAAAATATATAACACACCAAGGAAAAGTTTGTTCAACGAAAAGAAAATATCTCTATAAATAGTATTTTTTTATTGCCACCCGAATTAGGTTTTCGCCGGAACCTACGAATTTGTTAATTGCAAAGTTTAAGTGCTAATTTACTATGTGCTTGCCAGTGAAGGGAACTTTGTGAGGAAACCTGCATGTCTGGGCAATAAAAATATTTCGAAGACATGTGAAGTCCGCCACCACGCATTGAATCAGCGCGGCGCACTACACCAATTGCTGCCTAACCCTCGCAGAAATTAGACGAAATCTGTGCCCAGCAATGGGATGTATATCGGTCTCAATTGACTACACAATATCATGATATTCAAATTTGGTAGTCGATCATTAATATAATAAGGTTCTTTATTTAAAAATTAATTTTTAATAAAGAACCTTATTCTATTAATGAAAATTTAATAATAATTTAATAATTAATAAAAATTACCCTTTGAAATATAACCCCACATATGCACCTAGCATTTATGTAGGGTTATATTTCAAAGAGTAGCCAAATTTTAAACTTAAGTTCGAAGATATAAATAATGATATACCGTTATTGCAGTTTTAGAAAATACAAGTAAATAAGCCTTTTATTTGAATCTATCCCAAATTGAATGTGATTTATGGGCAACACGTTTTTGCCTACCGATCGACCCTTACGAATGTGTTCGTGCGCAGTAAAATCAGTTAAAATAATGCATTACCACGCATTTTGAATTTAAAAGATAAAAAGGACACAATTATTCAGATTTTTTCAATTAATTTTTCTTCACCATTAGAATAAGTAATGCCTATATTACCTATATTATTTTTAATATAGGTGCATATGTAGGGTGATTTTTCAAAAAGTAGCCAAATTTTAAACTTAAGTTCGAAGATATAAATAATGATATACCGTTATTGCAGTTTTAGAAAATACCAAGTAAATAAGCCTTTTATTTGACTCTATCCCAAATTGAATGTGATTTATGGGCAACAACGTTTTTGCCTACCGATCGACACTTACGAATATGTGCGTGCGCTGTAAAATCAGTTAAAATAATGCATTACCAAACATTCTGAATTTAAAAAATAAAAAGGACAGAATTATTGAATTTTTTCAAATTAATTTTTCTTCACCATTTGCCTATATTACTTATTTTGAACCTTGTCTGCAAATTTGGCCGGTTATTGCAAAACAACCCTGTATAAATGATCTTGTGCTGATTAATTAATTTACTGATTTACCACGTGCTAGGCGGTGAAGGAAAACATCATGAGGAAACCTGCATGTTTGAGAAATAAGAAAAAATAATGTTTCGAAGACATGTGAAGTTCGTCAACACGCATTGAGGCAGCGCGGCAGACATTACCTTGGCCTAAAACCCTCTCAGAAATGAGAGGACAAACCTGTGGCTAGCAGTGGGACCTATATGGGCTGTAACTTTAACTTTTATAAATGATTTCCTATCTACACTAACAATTTATGTGAAACAATATTGTTTGCTGATGATACCTCTCTAGTATTTAGAATTTATAGAGGTAAAAAGTAATTTATTGACATAAATGACGCAGTATTTCAATTATTACATTAGCGTACAACTAACAACTTGTTTTTGTATGCCAATAAAATGCAATGCATTAATATTTCTTTGCTAAATCTAAGGCGGGTTTACTACTCATATATTGTATACATACATAATACTTGAGTAAGAAAATTCCTGTTTTTCTTGGTACTACAATTGACTCTCGCCTACAATGGGGACATAATTTCATATGTCTGTCTGTCTGTCTCTTTGTTCCGACTAATCTTCGAAATGGCCGGACTGATTTTGACGGGACTTTCACTGGCAGATGACTGATGTTGTAAGGAGTAACTTAAGCTAATTTTATTTTAGAAAAATAAAAAAATTCTGCGAAAAAAAATTAAAACCCATGAATTTCACTCGTTGAGAGAAAAGAGCTGTACTTGTAGTGTTGCCAGGTCTAGTGGGTCAAATTTCGGGATGGAAGATAAAAATAATCGGAAATTTGGTTTTCAAATGGAGATATTTTGATCGCCATGTGTTATACTAGTCTTTTTGACACAATCCGCAATGTGCTTTATAATAATTATTTGGGACTGATCTAATGAACGTTTATTTTTTTTTCCAAACATCTAAAACTGCACATTCGTCTGTGTTTTTTCTTTTTTGGCGAATCAGAACTTGTTGAACAATTTGTTATCTTTGCAGACTCCGAATTTTCTGAATCCCTCATTTTAAACTAATTCTGAAAAAAGTAATAAATCTTATGAACTCTCTATGAGAAAATAAGAAAATTTCAAATCAAAAATATTTTAATGTAGTAACAGCTTACAGATGTATTAATTTTTACTGTCAAAATTATCGATCAAAAAACAGACTAAGGAGGTTAATGAAAAAATGGGGACATTTGACGTCCCGATCAAGAGTGAATTGTGACGTGTCACCAGACCTCTGAAAATCGAACGTCCCGCGCAAATCGAGATACCTGGCAACACTGTACGTGCTGTATACAACATTCAACCAAGGGACTCACTCCGAGACCTTTTAAAGAAATAAGC